GAGGCTGAAGAGAGGGAGAGATAGACATATAGAAAGAGAGAGTGAGAGAGAAGAGAGAGATAGAGAGAGAGAGAGAGAGAGAGAGAGAGGAGAGAAAGAGAAAGAGAAAGAGAAAGAGAAAGAGAAAGAGAAAGAGAAAGAGAAAGAGAGAGAGAGAGTAAGAAAGAAAGAAAGAGAGAGAGAGAGAGAGAGAGAGAGAGAGAGAGCGAGAGCGAGAGAGAGCGAGAGCGAGAGCGAGAGCGAGAGCGAGAGCGAGAGCGAGAGCGAGAGCGAGAGCGAGAGCGAGAGCGAGAGCGAGAGCGAGAGCGAGAGCGAGAGCGAGAGCGAGAGCGAGAGCGAGAGCGAGAGAGAGAGAGAGAGAGAGAGAGAGAGAGAGAGAGAGAGAGAGAGAGAGAGAGAGCACCTATTGGTGACTGTTAGACTGTCATATGGATGCTACCGAATTAAATTATCTTTTAAGGAAGCATAGGTATGCACAATGAACAAGGTATCAATGGGAATCTGAATTTGTCATCACGTCAGACGGCATTACGATAATGAGTTATTGACCGCACCGCCGAGGCCAAATGTAGGTCAGCTGGATTGCCAATGCGATACTTGTGGCCGTTTATACTTTTAAATGTACACGTAAAACTATACATCCAACCAATAAATATACCATCGTTCCGTTTCCACACTCATTCAGCGCGTCATTGTGATGATAGCGGAACTGCGGAGCACCTCTCCGGGTGACCTCACTGTTTGGATTCATGGCCCTCAGAATAGACGTGTTTACAGGCCCCCAGCCGCTTACCGGGGCGGATTTCTTCCCGAGCCGGCGGCCGATCTTGGAGCAGAGGCTGGTGAGTTTGGAGCCGATTCCCTGGCTGGTAGAGGTCACCTGGTACTGGTAGGAGCGCCGGTAGTGCAGATGGGTCGGGTCCTCGCACCAGGTGTGTACAGAGGCCGGTACAGAGTTCTCCACGGCGACCGCCTCGACCTCGGCCTCCTGCACCTCCTCCACCAGCTCCTCCTCCACCTCCGGCGGCTCCTCCATGTCCTCGGCCATCTCCTCCTCCTCTACGGCCTCCTCCTCCTCCTCCGCGGCCTCCTCCTCCTCCTCTGGCGCTTCCTCCTCCTCTGAGGACTCTGAGGACGAGCTGGAGCTCGAGTCCTCCTCGTCCTCGGACCAGTCCTCGCGATCACCCAGCAGCGGGTGGTCGGTCCCCTCCGCCGCCGCCACGCCCTCACTGCACTCGCTTCTTGCGCGCATTGTGGCCAGGAGCCCGTCTATCAGTCGATAGCACCTATAGCGTCAGCGCACCCACACATCAGTCCCGGACCCGGCGGCCGATTGAATTGGAGCACCTTATCGGCTCAAGTAGTCGCACTAATACTCTGGTGATCCAATGCAAACTGGTGTAATGGTCGAGGCCAAAAAGGCACAGTTCACCAGCGGTCAACACGGCAGGGTCCTCTCAGCTGATCCACTCCGGAAGAGCCAAACTTCCCGTGCCTCTCAGAGGGCTGCCACCGAGGCGACGGCACGCGGCGCGTGGTGCTGCGCTGCCGTGACCCTCGGAGCCAGCAATCCCTTCACCGGCAAGGTCACTCCGGCCGCGAGTAACTGAGGTGACACACTTTCCACCAGTCTCCGCAGCACCACTCACAACACTGGAACGAAGCGCCCGGGGCCTCAAAACTCACACCCGCCCACGCCCCCGCCAATGCGTATCTTCGCAGAACTAGAGTGTGATACTGATACGTCCGTCGTATCACACGCAGCGGAGCCAGCTGACTAGCCGGCCCCGCCCCGACCCCTGGCGGGCTGGTGCTGCACTATCCCGACAGAGGCGCACTCAGATCCAAACGAACCTCGACCGGTAACCTTGAGAGGAGCCGTCCGCAGACTCACATCAACACAGACGGCACCGGCACAGGGAGAGGAGGGGAGGTTTCCTCCCAGCTCTGCCAGACCGGACGGAGTGGGTTTGGGGAAGATTAGATACAGGAGGGCTGAGATCAGCAGGGCCGGAATGGGAGTTATCGCTGGCGGACCACGTCGACCGTCATCAGCCGCCGCTGGAATCCAGACAAGAGAATGGAGAGGGAGAGCGATGGAGGGAGAAAGAGGGGGCAGGAGTCGGGCGGATCTATTCAGCCGACAGATTCAAGGCCCACGGAAGCCTGAGATTCCAGGCTTAGTTTTCAGAACCCAAGATTTCTACATATATCAGAGCCCAACGAATTCGACTTTCAGTACCTTTTTCCTCTAAAATATCACTACAAAACCAAACATCAATAGACGATGGAAACAGGAATCGAACACGAAGAACGTAACTCGTATCCAGTAAGCGACTATGCACTGGCTCAAGCACCTTCCATCCATCGTAACAAGCTGCGCCCTTGGCGCATGTCTCGCCGCATCAGTAAGTTAACCACTCGTTTCCTCATTAAAGTGCCCCTCAGAGGCCACTCACGAGAGCCGTCCCTGTGAGCGACTCGCACACCGCTCCTGCCACCGGGCTGCACGGCTCCGACGACAGACACCGTGCAGACACAGCCCCGGGTCATAATGAGTCAGCGCACGATCCCCGACACGTGCCACGTGATACGGGTTACGTGGCGCACGTCGGCCGGTGTGTCACCGCTGCCGCCCGTCAGACAGGTCTTTGTAGAAATGTCGGGACGCGGGTGGCTATTCCGGGCACCGCAGTCAGTTCAGGGTCACCAGTCCAGACCGGCTGGCTGGAGGGACGAGCGGCGGTCGTAGCCGAGAATGAAAATACCCTGACCGTTGCCGCCGTGACTCATCAACTCAGAGTCGCGGATCGAGAATCTCAGAGTCACGAATCAAGGTTACGGCTCTAAGAGCCGCGACTGGTCCTCGAAATCGCGACTCAGCTATCAGAGCTTAGACGGCAGGAATTCGCTCCGCTCCACTGCGACCTTGGGACCAGGGTAACAAAACAAACCCAGTCGAATGGATCAAAAAGGAATGTCATTGGTGTTCTAACTATGTTGGGGTAGGCATAGGACCGAGACCGTAAGTGACACTGGCCATAGGTAATAAAACTGTACTCCAATCTCAAGGGCATGACTGCAATGCGATATATGTGGCCCAAGGGTGTTGCACTCGTCTCGGCTATTTCCGGTCTGTTCTGATAGCTTGAGATATGTTATGAATTAATAAGGCTCAAGCCTTGGGCTCAAGTGTCTCATGAAATGATTGAACGGGAGACACCGAGATCAAGTGCAGCAACAGACCGCTGGAATATGGAAATATCTGAAATGGCACTTTATACGATAACCGTCTTTAATTAGCAGCAAAACGATACGCAAGCGAATGCAGATGCGTGCACCCGTCTAATTATTCTTGAAGAAACAGGGAAAGGTGCAGTTATTTACGGTGGCATTTCACGAGAGGAGTACGCGCTACTCTCGTGATGTAATCATGTTTACTATCGACCATTAGGGTGGCAGGTGTCAACAGACGGGGGAGGTATTCCATTATAAGCCACCTCCGTCTGCCAACACAAACAGAGACCCGTCCGGCGCGAGAGCTACGGCTGACGGTGCATCAGGCAGCTCTGGAGGGGTGCCGAGCTAAAACATGACACCCTGCCCTATCTTAGACACGAAACCACCGAGGAAGACAGTCCATGGTCTCGGAAATAGCGCTAATGCAATATCCTAATCATCGTCGTTATTTTGATACATTTATACACTATCATTCCGTATTCATAATTGTTCGGTGTTAATAAATGCCACGATTAACGAGCCATGTATCGCTAAACGCCGCTCGTCCATTTTGACCTAAATCACAGCATCAAAGTTTGCCACCGCTTCAATTATCAAACTGGATATTGTGAGATAATTCATGCAGATCAACAAGGATTTAAACCATCATATAAAAAGACGTGACGCAATTAAGCACAGTGATGCCGAAATCGCATGAATCGTTTACTTGTCTTTGCCTGACTTCCTCAATACCCGTCAGTCACTCATAGCAGCTTCGCCAATCGCTACGGAACCAGAACAGACAGCGCCAGGTGTGTAGCTCATAGCGAACTATAGTTCTGAACTTCACCACCAGAGGGGAAATCACGGGAGCAGAATTGAACGGCGTTCCAAACAGCCTACAGTTGGGTAAAACGGAGTGCCGGTCCTCGGACACCCAGCGCAGCTCAGAAGGTCGTTGGCATGTGTGAGAGGCTGACTCATCAATTATTAGTAATTCCGACAACGCGGACCGCCCTGGTGCCAGGATTTGGTTAATTAGGAGCTGGTCAGCCAACAGCTGAGCCCTGGCAGAGCTGCTGACTCATCAAGGGAGACGGAAACCTACATGGAACCCGAACTAAAAATCTGACAGATTCTTCTTCCTGGCACACTTCAGATCTGGAGGCAGCGTGTATCCAGAGAGAGCCCCGGAGAAATAAGCTATGGACCAGTAACCATGGTAATAAGTGACTTTTGCCAGCTAACAAAAGCTGTCATTGGGAACGTTCCTGTTGACCTACCCGCTTCTGGCACGATACAAATAAGTCCACCTCGGACGTCAAACTACGACCTCAGCAGCACTGCATTCCTGCATTCAATGGGAAAAACATCGCACCACTGCTACCAAACGTTTAGCAGTGGCACAATGCTAAGCATTGTCGGAAAAGTAACGTTGCAAAGCGGGGATTTCAACCTCCCGTCGTTTGTTCACACATCCCATTACGCTTTGTGGCACCAGCAGTGTCGCTGTTTTATCGGCCATAAATACAGACTGTGGTGACAATCGGTGGTAATGGCTTCAATTAAACAGCACGCATCGTGCGGAATACAGCTTTGTAGGCAATGAGGGAACCGGAACAATATTTGACAATGGAAACATATCAGATGGCATTCGCCCAACGGAAACCAGGAGCGGCATGCATGAGAACATAACGTGTGCGTTTTGCATAAGGACAGTTCCAGGCCGAACGCCATTAGACAACGACGACAGCGTTGAATAAACTATATTCGGTACTCACGTTGAAGACGGTAGCAGCCGGGTTGAAGGCGTCTCCTCGGCGCGACTTGAGCGAGTACTTTCCCTTGAGGTTGAAGAACTTCTCGACGATCCAGGAGATGGCCTTTTTGACGAGGTCGCCGATGACGCCGATGCCTCCTGAGCTCGGATTGGACTGCATCGTGTGGCCCACGGCCGTCTTCAGCATGTCTCCCATGGCGTTGCCGCCCTGGGTCACCGACGACTGGTCGCCCATGTTCTTGCCGCCGGCCAGCGCGCCGATGATGGTCCCCAGCATGTTGCCGCTGGCCGGGTTACCGCCGCCCTGGCCGTGGCCGCCACCGGCGCCGCCGATCGCGTTCGAGATGAGGCCCTGCAGCAGACCGGCCGCACCGCCGCCACCCCCGCCTCCGCCGCCGCCGCCGCCCAGAGCACTGCCGAACGCTGACTGGATGAGCGAGCCCATGTCGACTCCGGCGGCCCCCTTGCCGCCGTGCTTCATGGAGGCCTGAGGGGCGCCACCGCCGCCGCCGCCGCCGCCTCCGATCATCCCCATGATGCCTCCGAGGATGTCCTGGGCTCCGCCGCCGCCGCCGCCGCCACCATACCCGCCGCCGCCGCCGCCTCCGCTGGGGAACACGGACACAAGAGGTCACAGCACACAGCGGTGGTGGGACATACTGCGGGCCGCTGGTTCCTGGTCACAGTCAGGGTTCTGATGGCGCCGCGCTTGGATTAGTCAGGTTAGTAGACAACTCTTTTATGACAAACTACTGATTATAGATGGCTGTTAAATTGAGGTTAGAAACTCCACAGGTTTAGTCACATACAGCATTCTAAATGGAAAGGATACGATCAACTACGATATTAAATGACAAAATACTGTCACATTTCGGACAAGTTTATAGAACATGTAGCATTAATAAGAAACGAGACTGCCAATGATTCAAACAACAAATCTAGAAGAGACAATATAGAGCTCACTGTCATTAAGCTGGAGACCGGAAAACGCTTTAGTGATACGGGACACCATGGCACATGCAGATGCATTACAACTTACGAGCATACAAACTCAGGAAGTGCAAAAAAATGAACAGCAAATGAATCGAAAACCACAAGTAAAGTGCATCTATCCAGCTAATATATTTATGTGTTCATTTCTAACATACGAGTACGCTAAAATAGAGTGCATGGTTGTCGCAGAACAACTCTCAACAAACACCCCAACCTAGCATCCCAACAGCGTCTTGACCCAACCACATCCATTAACACATAAAATCTGCAATGACTAAGGCCGGGTGGCATCCAACCATTGCAAACGCCACCCATAAAACACGAACCCGTGTACTCCACTCCGCACCCAAGCGTCCATTCCTTCGCACCCCTAGTTAGCCATGACCCAGCGAATGGGCGTCTATTTCTGTCGAGTCCTGAGCCACCGCTGGTGAGACGTCGGTGGTCGACCCCCCCCCCCCCCCCCAGTGCGTCTCTCCCCCACGGGCCCCAGTTGGCAGCGGTTTGTCTCGCTGGGGCGTGGAGCGGGACGGGACGGGCCGTCTGCCAGCCGGCCAGCTCGACCCAGCCACCTTCCTGGGTACCAGGTGTGAGGCAATGGCTCATAGGAACATCGCAGTACTGACTTCCAGTAAGCGTCGGTTACAGTTTTAACGAAACTAAGACAGCATCGGAGTCGCTCCCGTTTCCAACCCGTCATTCATTACTTGTAGCCTTGCGGGATCAACTCAATCAATATTTACCATCCGACAGAAACAATTGCTGCTTTCTCCATTCTTCTATTAGATTCAGGCGCTGTTCAGGATAGCATGAAAAAGCAACAAGAGAACTTACAATCCTACAAGAACGTTGGATCACCCGACTTCAAAAGAGTCTCAATCACCTAAAATGGGGCTGCATAATTCATACAAGTGGGCTGTATGAGGACTAGGAGTAGTGTGGTCAAACTACAGCAATATTTTATTAATGAGGGGTAGCTTGTGCATATATTATGAATATAAATTAAAGACAGCAGCAAAATCTTGGGAAAGACGACATCACTAGAAAATAATCTAGCACTACGGCTAACGCAGCCACCGAACGCAGCTCAACCAATTGTGAGCGGTGAAAACAATTCCATTGCAGCGGCAATGTGCAGTGTGCAGCGTGCAGCTATTTTTGCCGTTTTCGCACATCAATCAAGGAGCATTAAGGAGCCCGACAGCCAAACATGCAAGCTCCTCGGGAGGCTACAAACGAAATCAACAAAACCTTACACAAACATGTGTGTATGAAACGCGTGGATATAAACGCAGCAATTATCTACACGCTATGGCGACTGACTTAGACAACCCTAACCACTAAGCCCTAACCTACTCCCAAAAACGAACGAAATAGCGAAAGAAAACAATCAGCCAACTGGAGTGCTGCGTTTCATCAGCACTTCTTGCAAGCTCTCAACTAGCCAACTGTCATGCATTCGAAGCGAATTCTGCCAACTATCCAGCTGCCCAGCGTCCCCGTCTCTCGACTCACCCTCCACCAATGAGTTGGCCAATCATCTGAGTCGGATCGAACCCTCCTCCGCCGCCGCCCTGGCCCTGCCAACTGGGTGCGTTTGGGTTACGTGAGTGCTCCTGGTCGGGCAGCTGAGGGTACACCCCACCACCTCCACCACCGGCTGAGCCCGAGTACCTGTTGCGCTCCTCGTCCGTGCGGTCGTCGCGAGTCTTGTTGGACATGGCTCCGTAGATGTCGTCCAGTCCGCCGCCACCGCCGCCGCCGCCGCCGCCTCCGCCACCACCGAAGTGCTTGACGCCGGCGCCGATGATGTCGCCCAAGTCGATGGTGCCTCCGGCCTCCACCTGTGACAAAGCAGACGTGATTAGATAGTGAGACAGAGCGATGGTGACTGGCGAGACATGCCGTCGGCGGTACGCTATCCAGGCAAAACATCACCTAAGTCTAAGACTGCGGCAGGGACTGAGACAAAAGGATGGTGGGTGAAGAACTTACGTATTTTACAACACCGCGCCCTCAGCATCAGGTACCATATTTTGTAATCTATCCAATATCTGAGTCTGCTCTGTCAGGGTACACACGTCCCCGCCGTGACCGCCACTGACCTGGTGTCCCTGTCGGCGCCTCTCCCGTCCGTCATCATCGTCCTGCATGTTGTCCATCACCTCGTTGGCCACGGCACCCACCAGGTTACCGAGGAAGCCGCCGCCGCCTCCGCCGCGGCGGTCATCCCTGGGACGGATACATAGATACGACACGGTAAGATAGGTACGGAGCTCATATCTGAGAGATATATCGGCAACGAACAAAATGCATTCTGACATTTGGCTGTTCGAAACAGTCCGGACAAGAAGCTCGACCAACATCGACATGGAACGGACCCAAAGAGCAGGTCAGACACGCGCCTAACCGAAACACTGAAACCAGTTCAGTCGGCATATCACCGGAACTGCACATTGGAATGAGGGTGCGTACTGCGTACTGATTATTGAACAGTCAGTGAGTTTGCAAAAACACCCAGCGAGCACCGTCAGTCATCACATAAGATACCCAAACAGGTCGTTTCAGAACACAATGCTCGCGCATTTCACGAAAATCGCTTTGGAATGACGCGGCGTGGGCTATGGGCTATGCGGTACAGTATAACTTCAGGCGTTTGTCACTGGTGTCATCTAGCGGCCATGACAGAAATTAGAGCGAGACCAAGGAGACAATGGCTAATGACATGTATGAGTGTTCGAAAGGGAATCATCTGACGCGGTTGACCTGACGGAGTTTATGCAAACAAATACAGTTTTTTATAATTGATTGCACCTGATTGGGTCCACAAGTGTTGCAGTACGGTAACGTTGTGCGTCCGGCGATCGTGGCTTCACCCGGCGCGGCGGCCGGGTGCACCGGTACTTTGAGCGCGGCTCGCGCGGCCGCTCCGCGCGGCCGCCGGCCCGGTGCGGGTGCCCACGTATGTTAAACGAGTGACCTGTCACGTGATCGACCGATCCGAGGTCAGAGCCTCCCGCCGGACGGGGCGTCAGTTAGTATTCAGTACTGACTCGGACACCACCTCCCGCCGACCCCCGACCGCTACCCACCTGATAGGTTACAGCTGAATTGGTATTTTGTACCATGAAGGCTGCTATCCTCTGCCTTTAAAAACCTGGGATATCGCTCCGGGTTTTTAAGCATCTGTTGTTATTTTACCGTTCATTTTATTATTGCTCGTTCGTTTTGCCCGCATGTTTGTTTGCCCGCAATTGAGCTTATTGCACTTTTGAATGCCCAGGTCAAAGGCAATACAGACCTATTTTGTATACATTCTTTCCGTTAAGGGACATAACAAGGAGAACCGACACACGGGTATTTTGTACCTTCTTTGGCTGACGTTTAAGCATACAGTCCACGTTCTCTCACACGCAGCGAGCCGCCGGCAACATTTGGTCCTCCGGGCCGGATGTGCTCGCAGTACTAGAAGTTTACAGGTGCTGAATAGCCAGAACCACCCAGTTCATCCAAAATGAATAATAAGACGGGCAGTAACGTAACTGAGACTGAGCAGTTGAAACTGAAACGCACTAGGGAACGCACAAAAGCCACAAAGTTAACAAACGAGCTAAAGTCCCTATACTCACAAGTCCGTGGAGATAGTGACGGCACAGCGCGGGACGAGCTCGACTACAACATCGAGATCGGAGAGGGCCACCTGGAAGTGCTGGAGAACTTGGAGTCGGAGCTGAAGGCGCTCGGCGTTGAAGATGAGTCGGCGCACATCGCAGACCTCCACAAGGCCATCGGTCTCGGGAAGCGCCTCCTGGCGCGGACAGAGCAAGCCGAATCCACTCCAGTACCATCCGCACCTCCGGCGATGTTCAAGCTGGACATCACCGTGCCCAGGTTTAAAGGTGACCTGCTGGCCTGGCCGGAGTTCTGGGAGATCTTCGAGGCCTACGTTCACACCAACAGGGGTTACTCCTCTGTTCAGAAGCTCTGCTTCCTGCGTCAGCATCTCGATGGACCTGCAGCCCGTGCGATCCAGGGGCTACCGCTGACAGCCGATAACTACATGGTGGCTGTGGAGATCCTCAAGGACCGGTTCGGCAAGGACGACATCCGCAAGGACCTCATCATCACTAAGCTTCTGAACCTGCCGGCTGTCATCAGCGCGGGCAGCCTCAAATCTCTGAGGCGCTTGGTGGACGAGGTGACGACAGGCGTTCGCTCATTGGAAGCCATGAGGGTGCCGAGCATCGGAAGCGTCCTACTTCCGGTGCTGAAGGAAAAGATTCCCGCTCCCTGGAGGCTGCAATGGGCCAGGCAAAGGCGAGGACAACTTGCTGGAGACCAGGGCAGCGAGTTCGCCGCATTTCTCCAATTTCTTCAGGCGGAGGTGGAATGTCTAGAGGAGTCAGTACAATTGACCTGCACCAAGGCGAGTGAGGATACGGACCCACTCGTGCTGAAGTCGACCACCAGTGTCCTTCATGCTCAGAGGGTGCAGGGGCAACCGTCAAGATCATGGATATGCACAGTCTGCAAGCAGTATCAACATCGTCTTGACAGATGTGCTCGCTACCAAGAGATGTCAGTCGACGATCGCTGGAGGATCGTCAAAAGATCCGGAGCCTGCTTCAAGTGTCTGGGTCGACACTACATCATAGATTGTAGGAGCGGCACGTGCAGACTGTGCCACGGCCCTCATCACACATCACTTCATCGCGACCAGACACCAGCAGTGGCTCCAGTGCCCACCCCAACATCGGGCACCTCCCATCATCAGACTGGAGGACAGCCTGTCGCAGCACCACTTGCTGGACAGCTGGGCCAGGATCCAGGTCAACGGGACGGCAACCGCTTCACTGACACAGAGGTCAGGAACGGTCAACAACATCAACCAAAGCATCGCTACAGCATGCAGAGCACCAGACAACCCTGCCATCTACAGGAGGCAGTACTTGTCGAAGGACACGGTCCAAAGAATGATCGGACGCTGAGAGGGCCGCTGGATGGAGGATCCAACGCGCCCTACACCAGCCACTCAGTGGCCGAGGAACCGGATCTCTCGGTGATCGGCTCCGGCACAATCGTGTGTGCCGGGTTCCAAGAGCGAGCCAAAGAATCACAACGTCCATCACAGCAGGGTCTCCAACAGAAGAAAAAGTGTGATCTGGACACACCCCGAAGTCCGCCAACTGATGAGGCCCCTTCTCAGGAGCCACAACCGGTGATGCAGCCACCGGAACTGGAGCTGCGACCGTCCGAAAGGCCTTCTTCCAGGTCGTGGAAACGGCGTCGCAAGGCTCTCCACAGAGCAGCAGCCACGAACGACGGGCAACCGGCCAAGGCATCACGTCTGCATGGTGGGGAGGTCATCAGGCCGCAGCCTGCCAGTAACCTGATGACGGTCAGTGAGGCGGTGCGGCCACCGGAGCGCCAGTGCCGTCTACAGCCTCCCCAGCCTCCAACGCCGCCGATGACCCTCGAACGAACACCATCCCAGCCAAGGAGAGTGACGTGCTGCTCGACAAACTGGCCGTGGAATCTCGAGGGTGTGCAGTACCCAAAGAGGAGATTCTGTCACTGCCGTACAGGCCCTTCAGATGACTCCTGCCACGACTGCTGAACCCCATGATGTTTTCCTACATTGATTTGCTCATCGCCAAGTGAAACGTTAAAGTAATGATTGTTTTCAACCACCCGTGAACCAGTTCATTGTTTCTGTGTCCCCTTGCATTGCCCTCGTTGCAACCAATTTATGTGTTGGTTCATCGCTCACATTGCGTCACATTTTGTCGACAGAGCTGCCTGATTTCCTTTCCCGGTCGGAGCATGAGGAGGTCGCTCGCTGTCTCCGGTGCCAGGCTGCTAAGATGGTGAGGCCCGATCTAAGTGGTTCGGCCGCCATCTGCACCGCTCGCCGGCCATCCGTCGTCTACTAGACGCCTCCATCGGTGCAGTTCGAGGCTGAGTGGTGACACGATCACCAGCCGGTGCTGGTGCTGCGCGACTGCTTTCGTTTGGTCATTCTGAGACCTAATCAGCCGCAGTCGAGTGAGCGTCGCGAGTGATGGCCTGGTGCCGGACAATGGTGCGCGAGGTGTGTCCGAATGGTCTCCGCTTTGAGCGAAGTGTTGTTATGTTATTTTAGGAAGTTCGAAAATCGCAGGAAATCTGCGATTTTCGGGTGGGGAGAATGTTGCAGTACGGTAACGTTGTGCGTCCGGCGATCGTGGCTTCACCCGGCGCGGCGGCCGGGTGCACCGGTACTTTGAGCGCGGTTCGCGCGGCCGCTCCGCGCGGCCGCCGGCTCGGTGCCGGTGCCCGCGTATGTGAAACGAGTGTGCTGTCACGTGATGACCGAGCCGAGGTCAGGGTCTCCCGCCGGACGGTGCGTCAGTTAGTTTCCAGTACTGACTCAGACACCACCTCCCGCCGACCTCTGACCGCCGCCCATCCTATAGCCAGGCCGATTGGTTTATGGTACCATGAAGGCTGGTATCCTCTGCTTTTAAAAACCTGGGATTTCGCTCCGGGTTTTTAAGCACTCATTTATTGTATCGTTAATTTTATTATCGTATGCTTTTGTTCGCCCGCACGTTTGCATAGCCCGCATATGGTCTAAAGACAATACAGACCTATTTCGTATACATTCTTTCAGTTAAGGGGTATATCGAGAACTGCACAGCCACACAGGTATCTTGTACCTTCTTTGCTGACGTTAGCATACAGTCCACGTTCTCTCACACGCAGCGAGCCGCCGGCAACAACAAGCAACTTTGTCATGGCATCACCATTCAACAAAGCTGCACCATTGCATTAGCGCTCGCCTAACGGGCACGTGACGAGTGCAGTGGCGGCGTGTCCTGTCGAGGCTGCCCGTGCCGCGCGGTGTGTCGGATAGGGACGGAGGGTGTGTGTTTATTTAGTTAGGTCGGATCAACACACGGCCCAGCGGCAGCAATAACGAGCCATGGCTGGCGGTCCATCAGACAGGCGGCTGGAGCGGCAAAACAGCCGGCACGAAAATTATAAACGGTACAGTATGACGGTGCGCCACAGAGCCATGGGCCACGGGGGAAAGGTATCGAAAGGATGGACCAAAAACTACAAGATCTAATAGGCTATTAGATGAGTCCTTTTATTCTCCATGTAAAAAATAAGATTTACGTTTCCCAAATATAGCAACATTCAAATAAAAGAAAGTTATGAGTGAACCAAAATATGTTAAAAGTTTATAA